ACCCACGGCCGCAGATACAGAATGCACAGCCAATAAAGGATGAAAAATTATACTGTATAAGAACATTGAAGTTATGGAATTATGAAATAAATTATGTTGTTGGGGACCAAGGCGGATGAGAATATTTTTGTTTTTTCTCTTCGAGAGATGTTGGACTTCTACCAGAGATGATGCCGATATGCTTTATACAGAGGTTGATAAATATTTCCGACATATAAAAATTTTCAATGCATTAGAGCAGTCGACCATTTTGAAATTTGACAGATGGATATTCAAGTATCCAACTGGACTATTTAACATCGATTCGTTCTCATTTCGTAGCTGAAAAGCGTCTCCGCTTTCAGCAGGAAGCTGACCCACTGCTCAATGCGCAGTCGGTATGAAACTGTGATGTGATGAGCAATTCCTCAAAATATGGCAGGACACACCAGGAATGAGACAATAGAAGCTCCACATAAGGGAACCTTCGAAGAGACTAAAAAAAGAGGTTTATCCCTCAACAGCCGAGACCTTGAAATGGTAGTGGTGCTCCTAACGGGGCACAACCACCTCGATAGGCACCTAGAGCTTATGCAGATGGTGCCTGGAAGATGACGAAACGTCATCGCATGTCCTCACTGAGTGTCCAGCACTGACACATCAGAGGAGAGCTGTTCTTGGCAACATATCTTGAGGCCAGAGGACGTGAATGAGATTCAGCTGAGGAAGCTGCTGAACTTCTCCAAGGAAGTCGGCATATCCAGCTGAATGTTGGTACATGTGGGCGCACAATGGGACCCAATAAGGAGGCCTACGTGATGCAGGGGTGTTCACCCGCCCACCAGTGCTTCGAAGAAAAAGAAGGAGAAGTGATGAGTTAGTATGTGTCGTTGTCTGAGTTATCAGTTGAGATTACGACGTTCCATTGAATGCGAAAAAAGATTTGCTGCAATAAATATAACAAAAAGCTACCATTTCGAAATTTTAATAATTTCTGCGCTTGTGGATATGTTACCTTTCATAATTTATAAGAAATCAGGTATTTTATTATCAATCATTTTTGGCTTGCAGATGTCACGATTCAACTAGTACCTGACAGTGTGTTGCCAGTTGTAGGAAAAGCCGCCAGATGTTGCTAGTGAGCGAGTATTTTCGTGATTATCCAGTTTTGGTTTGCAATTGTCATTCTCGACACGAATCCACATGATCGAAATCCCTTCAAGAAATTATTTCAACAATGTGAAAAATGTTAGACTCCAAAAAAAAAAAACGCTTGAACAACGTGAAAAACGATAGGAATATCGCATTTACCCAACATGAAAAAGCTAAATTTATTAAACAAAATAGCTAAGACGTCAACATTACACGTAAATTGTGATCCGAGGCAAAAGCTTGCGAAAGGAAGAATATCAGAATTCAGAACAGTAGTATTCGGATAGTCTTGAACTATGCTGGTCGACTGGTTGAAGGCAATATTATGTAGTTCAAATGCATTGGAAATCATATTTGCCAGCAATTTTTCACTACATCGCATACAGTTCCTCTCTACTATGCAATTATGAAATATCGGGACATTCTCAGTATCTAGCTAGAAAGTTTCTGTGAAGTATAACTAGAATGAGAATTTTGTGGGAAATATCTTTAGTGATATACTAAAGGAGCTGATTTACTGTTCAGATGGAACAGTATTAGATTTTCTCGGGACTTAGGAGGTCATTCTTCATTAGAAAATATTTCTTACGAACCATAAACAATTGTGATTTATACTTCCTATTCCTGACCTTAGACAGTTAAGAATGGTTATCGACTGATGGTGAATTTGAGATTATTTATAAACTTTTGAAAACTGTAATGGTTACATTCTCGTCTCATCATGTCTCATCTTCCAATGTCTGACCATAGACAATGAAATTACTCTCAATAGCTATCAAGTATATTGGTAAATTTTGTGAATATTTACAGTCTCATTTGCATTGAGATCAGTCAACACTAGATAAACTAATTATCTTCATAACTTCTTACTCTGCTTATATAACATATCGTCAAGTAACGATGAGAGATATTCACAAATTTTGATTACTGGTAACATCAATAGAAGTACAAGGTGAATGAATATAATCGGAACTGTAAATGATTGTCACACTATCAATCATCAGATGCCTACCATCTGCATAAAAATAAGAAGACCAGCTAGAGTCTATGTTCAATGAAATGCAGTTTCCTGGGAAACCATGATATATTCGGACTATTGAAAATATATAATTCTGTTCCAACTATAGACAGCTATAGGCTATAGCTCAGATTTGAGATGGCGTTGGCATTATGAAAATTGATATTGCTGTATTCAAGTGTCTAACCATGGTCTCAAAATCTTCAAATTGAAGATATCTAAGTTATCTACTCCAACAATCTGATGATGAAATCAGTAAGAAAATTTTTCAAAGGCGAACATATTATATTCTTCGAATTGAAATAGGGGTTGAAAATCAATGTCTGCACGTTCCTCCATTACACCCTTATGATACATATCGGTAGAGAAATCAATAACTATTTCTGAAACAGAAGATAATCCCTCGGAATAAAAAAACAAAGGATTTTTCTTAGACGTATTTACCCTGAGGTTCAGTATTTCATTAGTCACTTCACAATATAGTCAGCAGTTAGGACAGTTACAATGCGAACAAACTCTAAAAATTGCTTTTAGGTGATTGCAATCCATCATCAGGATCAGTGAGTTTTAAGAAGGAATTATGCCTTCACATCATTTGAATCTGATGATACGTCGCATATTCTAATCAGATGTAAATTATCACAGTTGTTTAGTGTTATTACTGCTACTATATGTTTGAATTCAATACTTTATTTAATGAACTAATAACATATAATATGACTGTAATCTTATATCTAACAAGACAATCAATAATAAAACAATCGAATTGTTCAATATACTGAGCCACCCAACATTTGGAATATTTTTCAGACATCACAACTCTCTAGTCACTAGTGGGAAAAGGATGTTGATCAGAAACTATTGACATTTCCTTATGTTGAAATCATCGCAGAGATCAATTTTGATTTCTATATCATGGCAATCTGAAGGTGCCAGAACCGTTGTAAATTGTTTATATTCGATAAAGAGCAATCCTTATGTAAATAAGTCTATAAAAACTACAATAAACTATGATTGATAGTAAACGCATTGACTGCGGTCAAGACTATGATATTGCGGCATAAGCTAATTCGTATTATTGGTTTTGGTGAAGATTCTGGCACATTGATAGATAGTTAGATAGATAGATAGATAGATAGATAGATAGATAGATAGATAGATAGATAGATTTATTTCTCATGAAAATGTATGTAGAAAGTTGCATTTCTTCCAAGTTCAAGTAAGTTCCTGATAACATTTGTGGTAACCTAATAATCATCTGAGTAGTCACCTACACAAATTGGAATGGATTATCCTTGAATTAATACTCATCAATTGAAGATCAAGTAATATCTGTAGCGGAAAGATTGATGTTAGAAACAAATAAATCAAAAATGTTAATATACTTCTCCACTTAGTTTTGAGTTCAATTGAAAAAAATTTGAAATAATGAAAGTGGCAAAACTTCTTAACATTGTTTGGAAAAAAGCATGCCTGTTGAATCATAAACTTGAAAATTATTATTCCATGAGTGATCTCTTGAATTGATTCAGGACGCAAATTCCTGCGAGTGCCTTCGGTCGGTGATTTGAAATTTCAATTCCATGTATAATGGACCATTTCTGTTCTTTGGTATAGAAGCTTCATTGTTATCTTGAGTATTATATCCATGCACGTCAGAAAGTTTTTTTAATTCACTATAAGCTGTTGGTCCTGCTATTCTGAACCCCGCACAAACTTCAACTTCTAGGGAGTTGGTTCCCAACTTGAAAGTGGCGATATGCCGATTTTACAATTATCACAGTTCGGGAATCAGCAGTTCCGATGTTTCCTCGTGTTTTGGAAATTGCGTAAACTTCGTGGGTCCTAAGGTCTAATCTCTGAGTGGGACTGAAAGTCATTTTCGTGATGATTCTCTAACTAGGTGAGTGTCTCTTAAGTATAATATATTCATTTTTCTGTTTGTTTTATTTTTATTGACTCTAGGGACACTTTGCAGTTTCTAATTTTTCATTTCATGCAATTGATTCCTGCAATTCATAATATTTCCGGCACATATAAAATGCAGGCTATTTAGCACTCACTCGGTTTGACGGGCTTGCAATGTATTATTGTCAAAAAATCTGATAAGCTTATAGTTAAGTTTTGAGTAACGTAGAAAATTCACCATTTTATCACTAAAATTGCACCAGCAATACGAATTACCACAATTTCTGCGATACAACGAAAAAATTCCGGCAGCTGTCAAAAATGACTAGTGTCGTTCTTTAACGCAACTCAATTTTTTTTTTGATTTTCTCGTTGATTTTATTTTCACTATTTTTTCTATGCAAAAAAAAATTGATCTGTTTTGTCAGTAATGATAATACCTGAAAATGTTATATATGAACATGTATTTATGATTCCATCCATGATTGCGATTTGTAATTGTTCGATCTGTTCATTCGGTAGATGAAAGATTATTATATTAAGTTTATGTTTCGAGTTGGTTCTTATCAAAAACACTATTCAAGATGATGTGTTATCCGCTAATAGAAAAAAGAAGTAAAGAAGCGGAATTTGTTACTAGTTCATTTATGTTGACCAATAATAGGGTTGGACCGAATATCGAGCCTTGAGGTACCCCGCATACTTGAGGGTGTCTTCGCTCTATGGCCCATCAGAAAATTCGTTACTTGCTGATGATGGCACTTCCACATAAAAATTGCGGTCGTACTTTTAATGAAGAACAATCAAGACAAGACGAAGACAAAGATGCACCGCAAAATTTTATGTTACAGTATTACATATATATTGTTGCAAAGATGCCCCTCTCTAGGCCATCTCCCACTGGCTGCTGCGGTATAAAAGTGTTTGTTATTGTGTTTGCAGCATCCTTTCCGATTTGCGTACCAGTGGCGGGCTAAGGGTTATTTGCAAGTGAATGTTTTCAGTTTCAGTTTCTGTTTCAGTTCAGGATCGAGTGTGACTGGGACCTGGATGATGACGTTGAAGGTAGGCATTGATTTCTCTCTAGCATCACGATCGCTTCGACTAATCTCATGTGCGTGACTTCATGTAATCGAGTGCAGGTATCTGTGTGAAAAAGTGTTTATGAAACTATTTGGGATAGTGTTGTACAGCGTGGGCAACACTTCATATCCATTTGATATGAATCTGTAAGAAAAAACTGATTTTTCTTATATTCCACAATAACAAATTGGTCTCAATGATGGTACTTGTGAACGTTGCAAAATATCCTGGTTTGACAGTAATTGCTGGGTTCAGAAAATAATATTGGAACTCAACTGGACTTGATAATCTAGGTAAAACATATCATGAATTCAACAATAATGAATGATATAAAAAATTCGATTTGGATTGATGAAGAAACATGTTTCCTATTTCTATATCAGTGCCTTATGAGAGGAACTTGAGAAATTAAATAAGATTTGGCAATAAAAATAAAAAAATAAAATTAATGGGAAAGGTAAAGTGATGAAATGAGAAAGAAAAAAAAGCGCAAGTGCCTGCGGAGGATAAGGAGAGGAGGTAGGTATTGGACTTTTTTTTTAACTCTTAGACCTTATAAGTTCTTGGGAAAACCTCATTCCAAAGCTTTGCCGTTTTATAGATAAACAAATTTTGGAAAGTGTTGATGTTCGACATATTTCAAGGTTGACATCAGAAGAATGTGCTGACTGGGCTTATCGAGTTTATCGAATAGAGGTTGATAATATAGGTTGATATTGGGATCTGGTAACAATGTTGCCAAATTAATCATTTTTGAATACAAATACTTTATCAAATTATTCCAGAATGATAATTCCATGAATTTCATTGAAAATCAATGATATGTTCGATATCGCGAATAACAATATGGAGTAATTTTCATTCGGTAGAGCATCTCTTATGACAACGGCGAGATGAACTTCTTATGAACAAGTGGAACATTTCAGTCAGTTTTGAAAAGTCACTTCTATTGTCGAGATGAAAATAGTGCATACTATTTATGGGCTGTATAACCATCAACTGTCATAAGTCACATTTTCACAAAAGCTTCTAGCAAAATATTCTTGTTTAGTTTGGAACTGTTTATCTGAATGGGATGAAGATATCCTCTTGAACTTCTACAACTACTATCTATGAATTGGAAAATGTAAATATTAGTGATTGAACATTGCTGAAACCTAAAATACACCCAGGTTTAATTAAATTGATTTTCATCGAAGATACACCACAGCTGGAAGGACATATTACTTACCTGTTTAGATTTGACAATGAAAAATTAGATTATTTCAGATGTATACTCAGTCGAGACAATTTTCCAACAGTGAAAACACTAGAGCTTTTTTTATCACTTATAATTACACAAGAGATTCTTTTTGTTTAAGTGAACTTGACATGTTTTAATAAGGATTTTGTTGCCTGGCATATTGACGAAAAAAACTGCCGTTTTTTGAGTTGAATTACCTGATGGCAACAAAATTCGAATTATAAATGCCAAGCTGACTTCGATTGAAAAAAAAGCTTGGATGTAATTCGGTAGGACAATTTAATTAATCGAACATTTGTTTATGACTGGTTGTCATGCCTGCAAAAGTTAGGTTTCGTTATTGTCACTGGAAAAGTTAGGGCAAACTTTTTCGCTGTCATAATGATAAAATCACGCGGCTTCTGGGATATTTCATACATGATATAAATTTTTATTGTAAAACTTGTTCCTCAGTGATATCTTTCGCATAACATCAAAATATGTGAATTGATATAATACTGCACTTTTTTTGATATAGTTTGTCTAGAATTTCGATAATTCTCAGTAGTAATAAGTCACTTCATTTTTGACATGATTATTTTACCTGATATTATATATTTTATTCGAATTTTTAATGATTTCCAATGGGCGTGTACACCTTAGTAGAACTTTTAACTCAAACCATGTTTATAATGATCCTCTTATACATAAATAATGATTGACGACATAATTCGATCAAAAAATCAACTGGAATGTTTTATTTTAGAACATAAATAATAGTACCTTCTGAAAACGGACCCTCTTATGACGTAGAAACCTCATATCGCCATAGTTAAAAGAAAATACCAAACGCCCGACGGAGACTGGAGCAACTGATATATTAATTCTTTCAACTGTGATCTCGCGCTAATTCACTCTGTCAGAAATCATGTATCATTCATCTCTCTCTGGAATAGTCTTGTTTCAGTATTAGGGTTTTGACGTCACATCATCGCCTCGTTTTCAGAGGTCCGAAAAATCGGGGATTTCAATAAAGTCATCCAATTTATTACAATTAGATGAAATTGCACGTGGACTGAGAAGATTCAAACTAGCTGATAGAGCTACATCATCAAGAAATTTGTACGTACAAGAGAGAAAACAAAATTATAAACTCATCTCACAGATTTCAACAGTAAAGTTTAACAATTATAGTTGTTCGTTTAAATGCACGTAATATCTTTATATGATCATGTGATCCACTTTTTCATAATTACACGAAGATAAATATAACCTTATAAAAACTTTCGATTTAAAGTTGCCAAACCACTTATAAAAACACCAAAAAGATAACGATAAATTAAAAGTGTTGATAACCCACCTACAATTTGAGCAGGAAACCTGAGAATATTCGATTACTTAACAGTGATTTAATCCGCCTCTTTATTAATATGACTAATATAAACAAGAATTTCTTCTTATGCATAATGTACAGTTGAAATAACTAATAACACATACATTATCATCGAGGAATAAATGTCAGGAAATACAGATAACTGAGAATTATTTTCTTTGAATTCAAAGGTGAAGACGGAATAATAATTGGGGAAAATCTTGGATGCAATTATTGAATTATTGTTGAATATATTTTCGTTTGTTCATAAACCTAAGTGAAGACTCTTTCAACATCTTCAACGTCAAAAAGTGCAATACTTCTGTCTCAATTCGTTCCAGTGAGGATAATTCATTTTTTTCCAAGTGGCATAAAAGTGGCTTTTCTCTGACACTTCGCAGGCAGAAAAGGTGTACTTCCTTTGCCTAGGCAGAAAAAGTTTGTTGGTATACAACGTTCCAAGTAATTTGAATGACATTGATGATAATCAGAATTGACTCTGTCATTGAGTGAACACAAAGTGATGAAGTTTTAAAAAAAATTACCCAAAATTGGTTTTATAACATTTGGAGAAAAACTTATATGTTTCACAAGGCAGCAAATGTAGATTGACTGCCTTGGCTGAATTCCGCGGAAATATACTATACTTTGCTGCCTATAGTGACACGAATAACTATTCCATCTATCATTCATTAAGCAAGCTGGATAGACTTTCAAATCAATTTCAGAGAATGTACAGTCGACAGGATGAAACAAATAGAAATAAATTCAATTCAGTTATCTTCAAACTTCCTTACACACTTATGCATACATCCCTATCAGAATTGGCTCTGCCGTTTCTTGATGGAAATCCATGGAAAATGCAGAAATTTCACAATCGATCAGATTTCTACAAAATTCTCAATGACACGACATGTTTCGCTAACACTGTAGCTTCTTCAGGTGAAATACTCGTAGGTACTGAGTGATCCACTAGAGACTATCTAATAACATTATCAGTTTCATCATCAGCTATGAGAGGTTGTTATAGCTCATGAAATGCATTAACATACCTATTTTGTACCTACTGTAATGACGTCATGGAAATGGTGAAAAAATCTTTTTGAAAAATGAAGGCTCATTTTTATGAAAACTGTCACAGCTTATCTTGACAACTACAAAAAAGCAATGATGAAGAACAAAGAATGTTTCTTCGAAGCTTTTCAGTATAGGTTCAAACTTTTATAAGCTTCCAGGCGACATTTCTCACACCAACGATAAGATATATTGACTATAGAAATGAGACCCTATCAGTGTGTAGCTAATATTTATTGAGATAACTTATTTAGTCAGTCACGTTTTAGGTATATGGGCGCAATCTTTCAAAGCAAACGTTACAACCAATATCTGAAAATGAAGTAAATACGAAATGAACATCAGTAACTGTATGGCGATATGATATTTTAACTATTGATTTGTGTTTTCTGTGGATACCTTGGCTCTGAAATAGATACAATGGCAAATTTCCTGACAAAAACGAACTGAATCGACTAGAAAAAAAGAAACTAGCGCAAAGAAAATTTGAATGTGGATTTGAATAGCTTCAGTGAAGTCCACAAGACTTGCTAAATGTTTGCCCAATATGATTGAACAAACATAATTTTCGATCAATTGATCTGTTATATGTTTCCCCTTGATGGCCGATAAGAAGAGATACGGCGAAAAATATTCTAAAGCTAATTCAGTTTCCCTACTGCTGGAATGAGCCCATTGGATCATGAAAATGCCACTGGATGTGACAACAAAGCCTCAAAAATGGTATGGATGAGTTGAAAAATATGTGCGCCTACCTAAATCCATGAAACTTTGAGGATATCCTGGCTAGTATGCTCATAACCCTATTTCTCAGTACATATACAACCTTTTATGTGTTCAAATCTCATGAAATAACTTTCCAGTCAAGCCTTAATCGAATAAGATTTCTACTTTTGAAAATTATTCACTAATGTAATCGTTAATGAAATTTTGACCCCTTCAGGAGACACTATAGTAGGTATAGGAGGGTATTGAAGTCTCAAATCGCACATACTATAATTAGGCTTTGGAACTTACTCCATACGTCTTCTTATTCCGTGATAATAATACTCGTGTAAATCAGTATTCAAAAATGCAATGTATATTGAGTGAGCTGAATCAATATCATGATTTTAATTACATTAAATAAATAGAATGTCAGAAACGTTGTCATCAATTATCTTCGCTAATAATTTATCCAAGGTAATGAAATAGTTAGAACATCTTCAACCCATCTTTAACCCAACAAAGAGCCGTAGTTGCATAAACATCAAGCGGTACCCTATTCACCTGAAATTATCTGAATCATCAAAGTTCATCTCAGGTTTCCCATAA